TGATGGTGGAGTCAAATCTTCAAACGCGAATTGCTGGTGAACGGGACGTCGGAAGGAGTTACCGTCAAAGGGAATGTGGTAGCCCCCGACACGATCTTCCTGATGGTGGAGTCAAATCTTCAAACGCGAATTGGGGGTGAACGGGACGTCGGAAGTGGGTACCGTAAAAGGGAATGTGGTAGCCCGCGACACGATCTCACTGATGGTGGAGTCAAATCTTCAGACGCGAATTGCGGGTGAACGGGACGTCGGAAGGAGGTACCGTCAAAGGGAATGTGGTAGCCCCCGACACGATCTTCCTGATGGTGGAGTCAAATCTGCAAACGCGAATTGCGGGTGAACGGGACGTCGGAAGTGGGTACCGTAAAAGGGAATGTGGTAGCCCGCGACACGATCTCACTGATGGTGGAGTCAAATCTTCAAACGCGAATTGCTGGTGAACGGGAGGTCGGAAGGAGGTACCGTCAAAGGGAATGTGGTAGCCCCCGACACGATCTTCCTGATGGTGGAGTCAAATCTTCAAACGCGAATTGCGGGTGAACGGGGCGTCGGCAGTGGGTACCGTAAAAGGGAATGTGGTAGCCCGCGACACGATCTCACTGATGGTGGTGTCAAATCTTCAATCGCGAATTGCGGGCGAACGGGACGTCGGAAGGGGGTACCGTCAAAGGAAATGTGGTAGCCCCCGATACGATCTTCCTGATGGTGGAGTCAAATCTTCAATCGCGAATTGCGGGTGAACCGAACGTCGGAAGGGGGTACCGTCAAAGGGAATGTGGTAGCCCCCGACACGATCTTCCTGATGGTGGAGTCAAATCTTTAAAAGCGAATTGCGGGTGCACGAGGAAAGTGGGAGGCGGTTAGTGAATGTAGTAGCCTTCGACAAGATCTGTTATTGATGGTTGAATCGAAAGTGGCTAATAGAATACTGATCTGCCACACAAAAATGCGCTGAAGTCCCTTCGATCTCAAACGAGGACTTTGATAATTTTTTCATAAATAGTTATTTATATACATAAAGGTCAGGCGAGGACATATTGATGTACGATACCTACTTTAAATTCCGAATCAAGTAATGTCATTTTGCTGACGAGTTTTGTATTTAATTTTAACCAAAATCGTATAATAAATTTCAATTTTTATATAAAACTTTTGATTAATGTCAATCTGTCAGTGATGACAGGAGTCATTAGGTATAGACATATTTAGCAATGGGTGCGTTCAGCCTTATTCAGCGCTTACACGGCTGTTCCCAGTGCCAAATTTTTTCTCGATTGCGCTCTGGATTTCGATGTCGATCTCCATTTCAATTTCGATCGCGATTTTGATCTCGATTTCGATCTCGATTTCGATCACGATTTCGATCTCGATTTCGACCACGATTTCGATCTCGATTTTGATCTCGATTTCGATCTCAATTTCGATCTCGATTTCGATTCCGATTTCGATCTCGGTTTCGATCTCGGTTTCGATCTCGATTTCGATCTTGATCTTGATTTCGATTTTTTTGAGATACCTATGTAAATATCGGTGCCATAAGGGAAGCG